CACTTGTGGAAAGAAAACCAACAATGAGCTTCTCAACTTTGGAAAGACAAAATGAATTGAAAGATTTACTCTCTCCAAAGGAAGAATCATCTGATAGTGAAGAATTCCCAGAAAGCCAATCTCACTCCACTCAAAATATTGCACCAAGCAATGTAAATACTCACCAGCCAAAGTTTGATTTCCGAAGCACTGTATCAAATCAAATCCTTGCAAGTAATAATAATAGCAGTGACGATGAAGACGATGCAAAATATAGTGTTGAAAAGACATCCAACAATAGAATTTTCGAAGATGTCAGTAATACAAGTTCAGTACAGTCACCAAATACTGAACCTCACAATAAGGAAGAAATACCAACTCATAAGGTTGTACTTCCAGAACATCAACAGAGTTATCTTTTCAATCAATTAAAACAATCCTACAAGGAAGAGGAAGACTTGAACTCACCACAATCATCAGAAGCTACAAGTCCACAACCTAATTTCGAAGATCATACCTCCAAATCTCAACAACAACAATCGATTATGGAAGAGGCTGAAAAGTTGCAAACAATTTCACAATTCTTCAGAAAGACCGAGAATACTGGATCAAACAAGACCAAGAGGCTATCAAATGCAAGCATTAAGAATGTGCCTATCAATACATCATCCACTACTGCTCAATCTAATAATGAAGAAGAAGAAGACTTTGATTCATGGTTTAGTAATAAAATAAATTAGCCTTTAGTTCATAATATAGAAGAGAGCATGTTTCTTTGCATACAATCACCACTATCAATAACATCTGCTACTACTCATACTACGACACATGTCATGCATCCAAAATAATACCCCATTTAGTCTAATCAACCACAAGAAACTAAACGAAAGGATTTTCCTTCATTTCAGATGCGTCATTAGCTGATGATGCACATGGAGATAATCTAGGCAAGATGAATTAGCAAGCAGTTCAGTGCCTTTTCGAATATATTGAGTGACATTTCATTCATTTAAAATCAGATTCGCCTAAACGATTTTTCATCAAAGATCAAATCGAATAGGGGAATGAGTAAATACAATCGTGGTTGGAGTCGTAGTATTATTCGAAACTATTAAGGTCTCAAAGTTTAGATTTGGTAAACCGTATGGCATTGACATCTTTTGTCTCATCACTCATTATAAACTAGAAATAGCAACATATCTGAGATATCAGATATTTCTTATTATTACTTTGTTTCCACACAGTCACTCAATCAACGTTCCATCTATGCATTGTTACAGAGAATTGAAAGATATGGTTGTGAAGAGTAGTGGAGGATTCACTTGGTAAATATTGTGGAGAGATACTTGAGATGATCACCGTGTAACTGCATTCGTTAAAACCATCACAACATGTCCAATAGCAAATATGCTTCGAGTGGATTCATAGAGTATCTCTAAGGAATTTTAAATTTGAATAGTTGGGAGTTTTCATATTCAAGTCAATTACAAATTATGTGCAGAGATATCACTGTAGGCAATTCAATAACCTTATTCTAATCAACAAAACTAAACAATAAAAAAACGAATTCTTTCTTAATATTGAATGAACATGTGCATGGGTGAAAATAATTTTGATGTTTATTCTTCCTTCTGCTCTGACAATGAAGAGCATGCATGTAAAAGTTTCGTCTTTTTAAAGTTTCGTCCAGAGAATGATCCTCTTCATTCAGCTGT